TACCTTGGTTGGGGATGGACTATTCCATAAGTTTCTCCATATTTTTGGTTGCCCTCTACACTGTACCCTTTCTTCCATTTTATAAACCCTTTTAACAGAGAATTGCCCATCAATATTGTGTTTCCATCTTAATGTATCTGGTTCACTAGGCATATTCTTTAGGTTTATTTGTGAGACTGCATATGCTTACCCACAAATTCACACTTGAAACAGGCATTCTTCCTCTTGTTCTTCGATCGGCTACTCTATCAATCTCCCAGTCATTTAACAATCTCCTGAAGAATAAGTTCCATCCCTGTGCACTCCACATATCATAAATGGTGCCATCTGGGTTGTTGCTTAGAATAAACAGGTCTGGAAAAATCTCCATTAATGGACTTTGCTCCTTCCAGAATTTTATTCCTTTCCCATCTCCAACTCTCTTCTGCAAGTTTCTTTCCAATTTGGGCCATAGAACTCTAATGGTCTTCCATACTCCAACTCCATAAGTATCAGTGCTCACATTGCACCATGGGTTGAGTTCACCAAACTTGTGTCTAGTTACCTCCCTCCATAATGCATGATCCTCCATATTGTATCTCCAGAGCCATTTCATCAATAACTATTGTTCCGTGCTCTCAGATTTCTGATGCCCAAACCACCTTGTTCTCTACTGTGCATTGTTGTCAGCCAATTGACTAGTTTATATCCTTTGCCCTCTTTACCGCCATGCCACAGAAAACCCCTCCTAAGTCTGTCAAGCTTTTTCATAACTTTGGGAGGTATGGGAAATAGAGACATTACATACGTAGGAAGTGCATCAAGTACAGAGTTGATAAGGATGAGCCTCCCTCCTAGTGATATGTATTGTGCCTTCCACCTAGCCAATCTTTTTTCAGTTTTCTCTAATATTCCATCCCAAATTTCCCCTTGTGTTCACTGCCCAGTGGCATACCAAGGTATGTAGTTGACATCTTTTCAACTTTGCACCCTAAAATGATTGCAAGATTTTGGCTATTTGGCACCTCCTTTATCGGGAACAAACTGGTTTTCCCCAGTTAACTTTCAAGCCAGAAGAAGCTTCAAAAATAGTCAAAATCATTCTGATGTAACCTATTTGTTGTAGGTGACATACCTCCATTATTTCCCCTCTACTATCTCCTATCTCAAACCCTTTAATCCATCTATTCTGTAATGCTATCCTCATCATGCTATCAAATCCCTCCATAGCTAGTATAAACAGGAAAGGAGACAAAGGGTCACCTTGTCTAAGACCCCTTTCAGACCAAAAAACCTACAGGTTCACCATTCACCAAAACAGATAACTTGACAGTTTTAATGCAAAAGTCAATCCATTTCAACCATTTCTCACCAAAGCCCATTCATCTCAGAGTATTCAACAAGAATCTCCAGTTGACGTGATCATAGGCTTTTTCTATGTCTAGCTTACACATGACACCTGCTTCTGCCCCTTTAAGTCTTGAGTCCACACACTCACTAGCAATTAGGGCTGCATCCATGATCTGTCTTCCTTTTATAAATGCCATCTGATGCTTGTTAACTAAATTGCTAACCACCTTCTTGAGTCTTTCAGCCAGTATCTTTGCCACAATTTTATATATTCCACCTATGAGACTTATAGGTCTGAAATCTTTCAACTCTGAAGCTCCAACCTTCTTTGGGATCAAGGCTATGAATGTTGCATTAAGGCTTATCTCAAATTTCTGATATTCATAGAAATATTGGAGTCTTCAGGATGTCCTCCTTCATAAGTTCCCAGAAAGCCAAATAAAAGGACATAGGGAATCCATCCGGCCCTGGTGCATTCTCCATAGCACACAATTTAATGCCTTCTAAGATTTCATCCTCTTCAAATTGTCTTTGTAGCTCCTGTTCTTCTGCAAATATCCTTGTAGCTTCATGTAACACTAATTCTGGCCTCCACTCTTCTGCCTCCTTATACAGGTCCTTGTAGTAATTTTGAATAGCTTCTTTGATCTCCTCTGCATCTGTCACCTCCATACCATCCACCTTCAAGTTATCTATGGAGTTTACCCTTTTGTGAGCTGTAGCTATCCTATGGAAGTATTTTGTATTTCTGTCTCCCTGTTTCAACCATTGTATTCTTGATCTTTGTCTCCAAGCTATCTCCTCATTTCTTGCAACTTCTTCAAACTCTATAGCCAAGTTTGATTTTTGCATTGCCTCATCATCTGTGAGAGTTCTGTGTTCCTGGATTGCTTCCAAAGCTGCAAGCTGGTTTAAAATGTCACCCTTTCTTTGTTTCCAATTGCCCCTGTTATTTTTACTCCATTTTTGTAACTTTTCTTTTAGCATCTTCAGTTTCTCAGCTAAAATATAGTCAGGCCTTCCCTTAACAACAAAAGCTCCCCACCACTGTCGTACCTTTTCTTTGAACCCTTTACCCTCAGCCACCAACTTTCAAATTTGAAATATTTTTTCTTGAAGTTCAACTCTCCACAAGATAGCATGATTGGGTTGTGGTCAGATCCTAACTTTGGTAATACTGTCTGTTTGATGAGAGTAAATTGCTCTTCCCATGATGAAGAGTACAAGAATCTATCAATTCTTCAGCTGGCCAAACATGTCTCTCATACCACCAACAGAGGCTACTGAATTGCTAAATAAAGTATCCCCCATGGCAGGTTAATTGACTAATTTATGTCGTTCCACTTTCTACTCAGTCCAATCACATACATGCAAATTCCCAGCATTACTTTGATATCACCCCTTTTGGGGTGGGTGGATTCAGGCCTAATGTTGATATTATTGCGACATTCATTTTGGTCATGGATGCACTGTGGGATGTGATTAAATGTTATAACTATCTTTTATCAAGGGTTGATGTTAAAATGTCTGTTATAAGAATTTAGTCTACTTCACAACCAAAGTCAGTCAATCAGCAATGTGTTGATCTCAAACAGTTGGGCAGGCTGTATGAAATCTTTGTAACCATTATGAGCTATTGCACCAATTTTGTTCCAACTTACTACCGAATCAGTTTTTCAAAATACTATACTTGAACCTTACATATAATTGTCCGTTTTTGTTAATGGCAGCAAATTGTTTGATTTCCTTTTTAAACAATCCTACACTAGGATGATCAGCTTAATATTTATGTCAACGAGTCGGTTCTTAAAGACTCGTCATTGTGCATCATAACTATGGAAGACAGCATCATATGTATTCATTTATTCTATTGCACTCTTTTGACAGTTTTACCGACAGTCCCACCTCTGAATTATTTATGAGTCACCTTAGATGTTTAGAGTTGTATCCAGTGACTTATGTTATACTCATTGTATTATGTTTTATTACCCGTCCTCTTTTTCTTTTACCGATCAGTGGGATTGTGATTTTATTTCAGATTGGTGTACTTATCGAGGACAAGGAGTTTGTTGATTCATTCATGGGAGGCAAGCCAAGGAAGGCGGGAAAATTTGCATTAACTCTTCGCCTTTCTTTATGGTCTGAGCACCTTGGTCTTCGTTCAGGCGAGGTGCTAATTTACTCTTGAGGCCTTTTGCTCTAGGCTATATGAGTTTTCAACTGACTAATTGTTGTTCCTTGCTAGGTTGGTCAAATTAAGGACCCTGTGATTGATCCGACGTATAAGGATATTTGGATGGCAACTGCTAGGGTATGTGTGGTGAAGTGCTCCTTTGAAGTTTTCATGATTCAAGTCCTCTAAATTTTGCATACAAATATTATTATATAGGTTTAAAATCAACCGAGTGATTACTTACAAACCGAATTATTGACACTCAAAATTTCGAGCTATTATTTGCTTACTGAATTATTGACACTCAATTTTTTTGCATGTGTGCTTTAATATGTCAACCTTTTCTGATGCTTGGTTGTGGTGTTATTGTCAGACAAATACCATGATATACCAAGACGTTTTTTCTTGCATACCCAACGATCTGATGCAATCCAGGTATTGCTAGCTGCCATCATTTTCTCGATCCATTTTGTCTTTGTTTTTCCTTCTTTCTTTTTTTGATCTCATATTCTCCTCTGATGTCATGCAGGGTTTCACTCCGACAATGCATGGTATTCTCAAAAGAAAAACTTGGTCATACAACCATTGATTTAGGAATAGCTCCAAGCAAGCTTGAATCTTATCAGGGTGGAGATATCGAGAGTATAGATCCCATGGAGAGATTAAAATCTGTGAAAGGTCATCTTGTTTCCTTCCCTTTGGATTTTATGTGCAAAGAAGATTTAAGACCTGTGTTTAATGAAAGTGAGTACTATGCATCTGCTCAAGTTTTTCATTAAAGCTTCTCGTCTTATGGACTACACAAATCAGAAAAATTATCAAGTGTCTCAGTGGGTTATGCGTTCTACAGAAATTCTATAGGACACCATTTCAGAGCATACAATTTCCCGCTTTCTTATTTTGACTGTGTTCTGTATCACAACATTGTATAAAAGTGGCGATACACACTTGTGAAGCTATTTGTTGAATACTGAGGAAGGTGCACACATACTAAGATAAGCTTTATGTTACTAGCAAAAGAGGATAGAATTGTTGATAATTGTGCTCACTTAGGCCAATAGGTTCACACTTGACAGGCTCAGAGGTCAATTTGACTGTTGGATTTCTGTAACGCATGGTTCATAGCCAAGTGTTTTGAGCTACTATAGGATCTTTTCCAATTGATTCAGTTTTGACTGAACATTTTGGGTAGATGAGCTCTCTCTACAGTAAATAGTTTTTTGGTTACATTATCCTCCATACTCCGCATTTATGATTGAACACTGCAGCAGCTGTTTTCTGTTCACTTATAATTTATGCAATGTAGAGAGATAATGCGTTATCTGTTGGGAGCAATTTCTATTTGAGCTCCTGGGTTTTGCTTTGCGAAGCACTTTAGGTTGTATAATCCATTCATATCAACAATCATATGAAGTACCATTTCTATTATACTAGATGGGCACGGCACGGGCCCAACATGTGCATTTGTGTATCTTCAACTTTTTTTGATTTAAAATGCTGAAAAGGAAAATTTGAGCTTTGATTATGATTGTCATTGCATAATGCATAAAAACATATGTAAAAGAAATTTTATCATCGTTGTAGTTCCAGTTAAATAACAGGAGCTCAAAAACTAAATATATCTTCTATAGTTGATGCAAAGGAACTTTCATCCATTCAAATGTCTTCCCTGCATAAGAGTTGTGCAAATCAAAGTTTTGACCAAAAACTTGAAGCAAATCTTAATTGTTAACAATATAAACTTATTTTTTTAATATTGTGTTCACATTACTCAAATCAAATACTACTATAGAGAACCTAGTGGCGACTTGTTTATGAAGCTATTAGAACTGAAAATGTTATAACAACGAAAAAACAGAGAATATAATTTACACTTGATTCTCTTATGTCGAGACTTCATGAAATCACTTTTCATAATAGAAAGGATTTTCATTTTTCAAAAAATAGAAAATGTGGAGTACATTGGTAAGAAACTTTTGAGTTGAAGGATTTCAAGGAGAAACGACATCTTCTCCTAATCATAAAGCAAGTATTTTAAGAATTTGTCAAACCTTTGAAATATCTCTCAAAAAATCTTCCTACTACCTGGAGATAGGAGTTGATTTCCTCCTTTATGGTGTCTTGCACTTCGATCATTTTGTAAGTAATATCCTTATTTGTCAGATTTAATTAGTAAATGCTTTTGTGTCTGCGGTATGTCACTTTACCTCTTAACCTACAATCTCTGTTTCGGCAATACACCATCTACGATAAATTTCACTGTTAGTTCTTTTCTTTTATCATGAGACCAATTATATATAGTCACTTGTCTTACCTTGTCCTCTGTCAATAATATTAGGACTTCGAGAGACAAAGGTGAAATTAAAAGAAGGAACTTCTTTTAGGAATAAAATGGCATTAAAATCTCTATATTCCTTTTCTTAATTATTATCAAATCAAATAGCTTACTACTTTTTGAACTTGGGGAACATTATAAAGACATGAAATAACATACAAGACATGAAAATGACACCATTGTAAGAGCTAATGTTCACTGGTTCTAACAGATACTTTAACATTTCATGAGTTCCCATTAAATATAGAGGCAACTAATATATTATAAAGAGATGCGGCAGAACACCATCAAAACCAGATCATTCTTTAGCCACTACATAACATTGGCATATTCATAGACAGCAGAAAATATAACCACTTAGATAATTTCATTTGCGTGCTAAAAACAACTTACCATTAAACTCTCCGCAAAGCTTGTCCTATTGGTACCCTTTAGCCAAAATCGCTTCCCCTTATTCTTCATTTTTCCTCGGACAATGAATCTATTTAGTCATGGCACAAAAACAATATGAATTATTTTTCTTGTAAGAATTAACTAAATTAACATAAGGGAACCATGAATGAAGTTGAAAGGCACATAAAATTGAGATTTTTTTGCTAAGTCTCAACAATAATGCAAAGATATTCTGACTTTCTAACTATTGCACTTCTTCAAATAGCTGGTGTGTGTTAAAAATATAAACATAAGATAAATGTAAAGAATCATAACCATAATACAAAATACAGAAAATATATAGTTTATACATAATTCTATCATTGTGACACTCCTATTATGTGTTATCATGTTATGTGATGCTCTTCTTTTAAGACAAAATTTCAACATTTTGCTTGTTCACATGATAAGTCAAATGTAATAGTGAGATGATTAAAGAAAGTAAGCTCACGAAATATCATGTCTTCACATATAGGCTCTTTCTTATATATTATTTTTACATCTTCCGCTACCTACTCCATGTAAACATAGTAAGATGACATTAGATGCACTCACGAAAAATGGTTAATAGGACAGAAGGTGTGATAGATAAACTTTAGGGTAGAACTTCCTATTACCACAGAATACCAGCAATCCATTCCTATGATCTCACACAACAACTTTAGAATGCCTAATTTAAAAAATAAATAAAAGAATAATTTGTACTTGATGCATATCGTCAAAAACTTTGCTGCATCAAAGTTCTTTTCTTTTCATTTATATTTTATCCTTTCTGATTTAATCAATCAAAGTTAGTTCTGAAGAAGAGTTTAAACAATCAACTACAACCATGTAGTACAAAATTCACTAAGAAAAAGTACAGAGAAAAGATAAGGAAGAAAAATGCAAAAGAATGGACACAAATAAGATTTTCTTAAAAAGATAGAATCACATGTTTATATGCCCTCTAATTTTTTGGTCCATCAAAGCAATGGAAGGGTTTTGAAAACACAAAGTTAAATCATGAATTACTTAATGAATATAGTAGTACCAAACTGATGTTAGTAACAGCAGCCAACAACTATTACAAACATACAAAAAAGATAAATCATGTTCTATATGCATATATTTTTCCACTTATCAAGTAGAAACCAAAATTACATCAAACATAAGGAGAAAGCCTAAAATAAAATTCAAACTGAAAAAGATTTGAGCATAAGATAGAAGAAAAGGAACCTGAAATTTGGCCTCGACACCCACTGTGCACAAACAAAGTTAGAGTTGGTTTTGCGATATACTTGTATCAAAGTAAGAAAACTATGACGCACTTTGTTGAAATTCTCAAGAGATGTAAGAGAGGCATGAGAAATCCAAAGAGTAAAAAATGGAAGAGAAAAGTACCTTTTACAAAGAATATTTTTAGGGCACTATTAGGCATGTTACATTAACCGCAATACAACAGATCCTCAATTTCTGCATTTATCAACATAAAAATAGTTCCTTGAGTATCTTAAATAAGGCAAATTTTAAAAAACTAAATATACAGGCTCTTTTTCGAAACATAGTATCATGATGATCAATTGAGTTCCCTATTAGCATTGTACTTGTAAGTCTGAACTTTTATTAGTGGCAATAAATTAACCAAAAATCAGTAAGTGGACAAAGAATTAGAATTAAAATTTTCAACTAACTACATTGGACGAAAACGAAAATCAGATAAAAAGAAAGGACAAAGAGAATTCAACCACTACTCACCCACTTACCAATAGTAAGCACCCGCTTATAACATCAAAGATCCATCTACCAAATATGATCACAAATCCAAATTTATTCAAAAATAGAATAAGACGGGGAGAATTAAGAAAGAGAAGTAAACATCAGGAGATGAAAGCAGAAAAATGTGGTAATAGTAGTAATAAACGGAGAAATAAGAACTTAGGATGGAGAAACTTGTACACTTTTGTCCTAATTTCTCTTTCAATACAAAAAATCAAAGCTTTATAAACCCATAAAATAGAGTTTTTCAGTTGCATGAGTGAAAACTCATACTTTGATTTTTCCCTTGCTCACAAACAAGGTCCGAAGAAAAAATTGAAGCTAGGGACTTCCATTTCGATTTTCCCCTAAAATTTGAAGGAAAAATTATTAAGATAGAAGAAGAAAAGGAATACCTTGAAATTAGTGGGCCTCAATGTACAATTTGTATAGCTTTTAGTCCAGCTCTTTACGGCAGATCCTAACAAACTGCCATATCTAAATATAATAATATAATAATATATATATATATATTTGTCTGATGCTATTCTCAGCTCTTTTAATTGTAAGGATCATGGTTGTGCAGTAGTTGTCTTATCTTGGATATATAGAGTTATGATTAATGTTAGATCAGTTATTTAAATGTTGATACCCATTTATTCTTGTCTAATTTCCCTTTCAAGACAAGATTTTGAATTCTTAAAAGTACTATGCACCTGGGAATAAGTGTAATCATAATAAGGTTGCTGATTACTTCTGATGACAATATAAAATAATGATTAAACTATGAAACCTCATTTTCACTCATTAAGTTCCATTTAAGCAGTCATAGTCTCATTCTCATGAATATGAGAGCTCGTACTAGCATTGCCTATTTCATTCAGCTATGACTTTAAGCTTATAGAAGTGCAACCTGTATTTCTGTTGGAGCGAATTGGATGATCGGGTCGAGGGCTGCTCCCTCTCTCCTTCGTTCTCCTACACTCTCCTTTCCTTAATATAAACCTTGAGTCATTAAAGTCTTTTTGATTTTCTCTAAAGTTAGTTGTATGCTAATCACAAACTTTACTTATTAGTTATTACCAACAGATTGAGACCGAGGGAGGGTTTGTTTAGTAGGATGTATTAGTCATGATACTACCAGGTGTATAATTAATACATATCAAATTATGGTATTAGTAATATAAGGGTCGTTAATACAAGGATAAGTATTACTCCCTCGGTCCAACAATACTTGTCCACTATTGATTTTGCACACTTCTTAAGAAACTATGAATAGAAGAGTAATTTTACTATATCATCATTTGAATATAATAAATATAATATCTTGAAAAATGTAATAGAAAAATGACTATAAATAATGATAAGGGTAAATTAGAAATTAAGGGGTTGTTTAGTGTGAGGAATAAGAATAAATAGTTCTGAGATAAAAAATAATAATCTGGGATAGTCCTGTTTGGTTGTCATTTTGGGAACTTATCCCACAATTTATACCATAGTAATGAGATAAGTTATCCCATATACATGGTGGGATAAGGTATCCCACCATTCATATCATAGTGATGGGATAACTTGTCCCACCATGTATGGTGGGATAAGTTATTCCAGGATGATTAATTCTGGGATAACTTGTTCCCAACCAAACGACCCCTAAGTGTAAAATTGTCTATTGGTTTCATAAAGTGGATAAATGTTGCTGGACATCCCAACATAGTCTAGTGAACAACTATTGTTGAATGAAGGGAGTAATACACCAAATCAACCAATGGATAAGAACTAACTACAACATAATCAATCTCAAAATTATTAATACGTCCTATCCAATGCTATTCTTATGCATTCTATCAAATGATCTCTTATGGTTTAATGCTAAGTGCGCTTATAAACTTGTAATTGTAGTGTGTTTAGACATGCAATTTGAATTTTAAATTTTGAAGTTGTTGTCTGAAACTTTATGTTTGTTTATGACAATTTGAATAATTTTCAACTTTCGGATCAATTTTAAATATATACAATAAAATAATGTGAAAATGTTATAATTGACATATATAGGATTAATAATTATAAGTTATGACATTATTCTTTATCTTTCATGTTATAACAATAAATAATTACAGGTTAAAACATTTTACTAAATTAAAAAATGATTAAAAATAACAGTAGAAACCAATTAGTTTGAAAAATAAATAAAATAAAAACGGATACTTTGGTAGGAAATAATTTGAAAAAATTAATGATAATTAATGGGAGGCATAAAAATAGGAGAGTCATAATAAAAAGAATATTTATTTTCTTTGTTTAGCTCAAAACAGTTATTGCCATTTTCTCTCACTTGTTTAATTTAGTTCAAACATGATTTTTTCTATTTTTTTCACCATTTCTCTCTCTTCTCAATATTCTCTCTTGTTGTCACTGTCGTCTAATTCCTATTTTTTTAAATTCAATAATCTTCATTTTCTTATAATTGACGGTTTCTTATCAGCATTAATAAAACATGGTGGTAAAGAATTGTGGTAGATGGGATCCTTCAGGTTAGTGTTAATTCCAATATATAAATATTTTTTTTCTATTCAGTTTAAATGCTATGAAATTGTGAATGAAAGTTTCTTAATCGATTATCAACAAAATGTAAAAATAATTATGGAACAGTGATACTGAAAAAAAATCAGATGTTTATGTGTATAATATTTTTGATTATGGCGTTTTTTTTTCTATGTAGACAGTTAGATTTTGGTATGAACATTGAATTTGTTCATTCTTTTTTTAACCATTTTTCATTTTTTGATATGTTTTTTATTTTTAAAAAATTACATAAAATTTGTTTGGAATTGATATACTAGTTATACCAGGCATGTATGACAATTGATAATGTTTTTGGGTAATTTTGGTATGACTGAACTTTTTTTTGGCATTTTATTTGGAATGGATTTTGGCCATGATGCTGGAATGAATTTTGTATATTGTTTATTTAGAAAATGACCATTAATATTTAAAAATGGTATTTTTTTTAATATTATATTGACATGATTCTGACATGAATAAGTGATGTTTTTGGCATGAAATATGTATGAAAAGTGTGCATAAAAATTGTTGTCGGGGTTTTGATATGATTGAACTTTTTTTTGGACATTTTATTTGGAATGAATTTGGTCATAATAATGAAGTGAATTTGGTATACTATTTATTTAGTAAATGACAATTAATAGTTAGAAATGGTATTATTTTGGTATTATAGTGACATGATTCTGGTATGAATAAGTGCTTAGCATGAAATATGTATGAAAAAGTGTGCATAAAAATTGTATGAAATTTGTATACCGATATAACATATGTATTTTTACTTTGTATCCTGTAATATCGACACAGTGATTTTTGATGAAACAGGCAAATATGTTGATTTTCAGGTGGAGGAAATTATTTATGAATCTTCCAGCCTATATAGTGGTCTAGTAAATACGACAACTTCATCGAGAGGGCAATAACAGGAAGACATGTTCAAATTACGAGTCATAATTTATAATTGTGACAAACTCATGTTTTGATTTATTTTGTCTTTTAAGCTAATGAATTATAATTTCAGAAATTTATTATGTGTACTACTTAATCATTTTTGTGTATTCATTGTTTTTCAAATATATAGTGAAAAATGATTAAGTAATGCGGATATGCAATTTGTATCGACTGGAAAAATCAAGTCAAATATAAATATGAAATGGTATCCATTTAGTATGCAATTGAAGTCCCATTAAAACTAGTTAATGTAATTTCCAATTGGTATTCATTTGGTATTCAACTGGTGTCCCACTTGAAATAAGTTTAAAACAAGATGTAATTAAGGTATAATTTTTTTGCTACTTTTTTTTAGAACAATATATAATGGTTACCGTTTTACATTGTAAATTCATTCTTCCCAGATTTATACAAGGTGGATACCAACTTCATATATTTTTTATTTTTTAGTTTGTCTTAAATTTTCAAGTTGGATACTAATTGTATACAAATTGGATATCAATTTAGTGTCATTCTTAATTTTCAATTTGGAGATTAATTAGATGTAATGTAAGCCAACCTAAACTATTTCATATAATTTTCAATTGGTGTCCATTTGGTTTCCAACTGATATCTCATTGCAAAAATAGAAACAACAAGATGTAATTGAGATTTCAAATCAAATTAGCCAAACTAAAACTATTTATCATTGTATCCAATTGGTATACAACTGGTATCCAACTTGAAAATTTTAGGTAGATGAAAAATAAAATTGTATGAAGTTGGTATCCAACTGGAATAAATCTGGAAAGAATAAATTTGACAACGTAAAACAGTGCATATTATATTGTGTATAAAATTGTAGTAAAAAGAAATATACATCATTCAAAAATTAAAAAAAAACATGTAATAATTAAGAGTCTAAGCTGCAATCAACTATTTCAAATTTGATTTTCGTAGTCTTGGTGTAAGATAATTGGAGTATCTGGAGCATGTTCTTTTGCTATGCAGGATCCACCAAATTTGCTAGCAACAATTCCAGTTACTTTACTCTCACTATTTGCACCATCATCATTCTTGCTTCTTCCGTACTTTCATACCGCCATGACAATGAATATACATATAGATGCATAAATCATACCAATTTCATGCTAACATTAAACAAACTTCATATCAAAATCATATGCATAAAGAAACAATTTTGAAAAAAATATCATACTAACCAGTGTAGCATTTCATCAACTTCATTTCTTTACAACAAAATTGATACATATATGAGAAAAAACACACCAAAATTATATCAACTTTATGCCAATACATGTAGATATTGATGTTAGAAATCATACCAATTTCATACCAAAAATATACTCGTTCAGATAATTATTTACCAATTTAATACATATCATAATTTATATCATTCAAATTTCATGCAATTTTTATACAACTAAACAAATACAAAATAATAATAAAACTCAATTTATTCAACCATATCATATATCAAATTTGGAATTTTTTTTAATGATAATTTAATATAAATAATTAAAAATTGAATAAAATAAAAATTGAATAGTTGATAAAATAATTTAAATAAAAAATTTACCCTAAGAACTTTTTTGTCCTTGTTTGACATTGGAATTTCTGAGTCATCTTTCATTATTGCTCTTCTTTTGGAGGGTTTTGATGACTGACCCATATCGAAATTTGTTGAATTTTTTATTTTATTTTTATTTTTTTCTCGCTTACAAAATCTGAGTGCGAATTCGAAGGGGGTTCCACCATTTTCCCTTTTCTCTTTTGTCCCTTTTGATTTTGAGGACTTGCAATTTTCTTTGCTTCACTTTTCTTTTCCTTTTCTGGAATTTGTTCCTTCTT